CTACTTGTATTCACTGAGTTCCTCATTGGTCTCCTTGGATTCCTCGACGATTTCCTCGGTCTCCTTCCGTTCTTCGGTCACCTTCTCGGTCTCCTTGGGTTCCTCGACGACCACTTCGGTCTCCTTCTCGGTCTCCTTGGGTTCCTCGACGATTTCCTTAGTCACCTTGGGTTCCTCGACGATTTCCTCGATCACCTTGGGTTCCTCGACGATTTCCTAAGTCACCTTGGGTTCCTCGACGATTTCCTCAGTCACCTTGGGTTCCTCGACGATTTCCTCAGTCACCTTGGGTTCCTCGACGATTTCCTCGATCACCTTGGGTTCCTCGACGATTTCCTCAGTCACCTTGGGTTCCTCAGTCACCTTGGGTTCCTCATTCACCTTGGGTTCCTCGATGATTTCCTCGATCACCTTGGGTTCCTCGACGATTTCCTCGACGATTTCCTCGATCACCTTGGGTTCCTCGACGATTTCCTCGATCACCTTGGGTTCCTCGACGATTTCCTCAGTCACCTTGGGTTCCTCGACGATTTCCTCAGTCACCTGGGGTTCCTCGACGACTTCCTCAGTCACCTTAGGTTCCTCGACGATTTCCTCAGTCACCTGGGGTTCTTCGACGATTTCCTCAGTCACCTGGGGTTCCTCGACGATTTCCTCAGTCACCTGGGGTTCCTCGACGATTTCCTCAGTCACCTTGGGTTCCTCAACGATTTCCTCAGTCACCTTAGGTTCCTCGACGCTTTCCTCGATCGCCTTGGGTTCCTCGACGATTTCCTCAGTCACCTTGGGTTCCTCGACGATTTCCTCAGTCACCTTAGGTTCCTCGACGATTTCCTCGGTCACCTTAGGTTCCTCGACGATTTCCTCAGTCACCTTGGATTCCTCGACGATTTCCTCGATCACCTTGGGTTCCTCGACGATTTCCTCAGTCACCTGGGGTTCCTCGACGATTTCCTCGATCACCTTGGGTTCCTCGACGACTTCCTCAGTCACCTTGGGTTCCTCGACGATTTCCTCAGTCACCTTGGGTTCCTCAACGATTTCCTCAGTCACCTTAGGTTCCTCGACGATTTCCTCAGTCACCTTAGGTTCCTCGACGATTTCCTCAGTCACCTTGGGTTCCTCGACGATTTCCTCAGTCACCTTGGGTTCCTCGACGATTTCCTCAGTCACCTGGGGTTCCTCGACGACTTCCTCAGTCACCTTAGGTTCCTCGACGATTTCCTCAGTCACCTGGGGTTCTTCGACGATTTCCTCAGTCACCTTGGGTTCTTCGACGATTTCCTCGATCACCTGGGGTTCTTCGACGATTTCCTCAGACACCTGGGGTTCCTCGACGATTTCCTCAGTCACCTTGGGTTCCTCGACGATTTCCTCGATCACCTTAGGTTCCTCGACGATTTCCTCAGTCACCTGGGGTTCTTCGACGATTTCCTCAGTCACCTGGGGTTCCTCGACGATTTCCTCAGTCACCTTGGGTTCCTCGACGATTTCCTCAGTCACCTTGGGTTCCTCAGTCACCTTGGGTTCTTCGACGATTTCCTCGATCACCTGGGGTTCTTCGACGATTTCCTCAGACACCTGGGGTTCCTCGACGATTTCCTCAGTCACCTTGGGTTCCTCGACGATTTCCTCGATCACCTTAGGTTCCTCGACGATTTCCTCGATCACCTGGGGTTCTTCGACGATTTCCTCAGACACCTGGGGTTCCTCGACGATTTCCTCAGTCACCTTGGGTTCCTCGACGATTTCCTCAGTCACCTTGGGTTCCTCGACGATTTCCTCGATCACCTTGGGTTCCTCGACGATTTCCTCAGTCACCTTGGGTTCTTCGACGATTTCCTCGATCACCTGGGGTTCTTCGACGATTTCCTCAGACACCTGGGGTTCCTCGACGATTTCCTCAGTCACCTTGGGTTCCTCGACGATTTCTTCAGTCACCTTGGGTTCCTCGACGATTTCCTCAGTCACCTTGGGTTCCTCGACGATTTCCTCGATCACCTTGGGTTCCTCGACGATTTCCTCGATCACCTTAGGTTCCTCGACGATTTCCTCAGTCACCTGGGGTTCTTCGACGATTTCCTCAGTCACCTTGGGTTCCTCGACGATTTCCTCAGTCACCTGGGGTTCCTCGACGATTTCCTCAGTCACCTTGGGTTCCTCGACGATTTCCTCAGTCACCTTGGATTCCTCGACGATTTCCTCGATCACCTTGGGTTCCTCGACGATTTCCTCGATCACCTTGGGTTCCTCGACGATTTCCTCGATCACCTTGGGTTCCTCGACGATTTCCTCAGTCACCTTGGGTTCCTCGACGATTTCCTCAGTCACCTTGGGTTCCTCAACGATTTCCTCAGTCACCTTAGGTTCCTCGACGATTTCCTCAGTCACCTTAGGTTCCTCGACGATTTCCTCAGTCACCTTGGGTTCCTCGACGATTTCCTCAGTCACCTTGGGTTCCTCGACGATTTCCTCAGTCACCTTGGGTTCCTCGACGATTTCCTCAGTCACCTTGGGTTCCTCGACGATTTCCTCGATCACCTTGGGTTCCTCGACGATTTCCTCAGTCACCTTGGGTTCTTCGACGATTTCCTCGATCACCTGGGGTTCTTCGACGATTTCCTCAGACACCTGGGGTTCCTCGACGATTTCCTCAGTCACCTTGGGTTCCTCGACGATTTCTTCAGTCACCTTGGGTTCCTCGACGATTTCCTCAGTCACCTTGGGTTCCTCGACGATTTCCTCAGTCACCTTAGGTTCCTCGACGATTTCCTCAGTCACCTTGGGTTCCTCGACGATTTCCTCAGTCACCTGGGGTTCCTCGACGATTTCCTCAGTCACCTGGGGTTCCTCGACGATTTCCTCAGTCACCTTGGGTTCCTCGACGATTTCCTCAGTCACCTGGGTTCCTCGACGATTTCCTCAGTCACCTTGGGTTCCTCGACGATTTCCTCAGTCACCTTGGGTTCCTCGACGATTTCCTCAGTCACCTTGGGTTCCTCGACGATCTCCTCAGTCACCTTGGGTTCCTCGACGATCTCCTCAGTCACCTTGGGTTCCTCGACGATTTCCTCGATCACCTGGGGTTCCTCGACGATTTCCTCAGTCACCTTGGGTTCCTCGACGATTTCCTCAGTCACCTGGGGTTCCTCGACGATTTCCTCAGTCACCTTGGGTTCCTCGACGATCTGCTCGGTCACCTTGGGTTCCTCGATGATTTCCTCAGTCACCTTGGGTTCCTCGACGATTTCCTCAGTCACCTTGGGTTCCTCGACGATTTCCTCAGTCACCTTGGGTTCCTCGACGATTTCCTCAGTCACCTTGGGTTCCTCGACGATTTCCTCGATCACCTTGGGTTCCTCGACGATTTCCTCAGTCACCTTGGGTTCTTCGACGATTTCCTCGATCACCTGGGGTTCTTCGACGATTTCCTCAGTCACCTTGGGTTCCTCGACGATTTCCTCAGTCACCTTGGGTTCCTCGACGATTTCTTCAGTCACCTTGGGTTCCTCGACGATTTCCTCAGTCACCTTGGGTTCCTCGACGATTTCCTCAGTCACCTTAGGGTTCCTCGACGATTTCCTCAGTCACCTTGGGTTCCTCGACGATTTCCTCAGTCACCTTGGGTTCCTCGACGATTTCCTCAGTCACCTGTGGTTCCTCGACGATTTCCTCAGTCACCTTGGGTTCCTCGACGATTTCCTCAGTCACCTTGGGTTCCTCGACGATTTCCTCAGTCACCTTGGGTTCCTCGACGATTTCCTCAGTCACCTTGGGTTCCTCGACGATTTCCTCAGTCACCTTGGGTTCCTCGACGATCTCCTCAGTCACCTTGGGTTCCTCGACGATCTCCTCAGTCACCTTGGGTTCCTCGACGATTTCCTCAGTCACCTGGGGTTCCTCGACGATTTCCTCAGTCACCTTGGGTTCCTCGACGATTTCCTCAGTCACCTGGGGTTCCTCGACGATTTCCTCAGTCACCTTGGGTTCCTCGACGATCTGCTCGGTCACCTTGGGTTCCTCGATGATTTCCTCAGTCACCTTGGGTTCCTCGACGATTTCCTCAGTCACCTGGGGTTCCTCGACGATTTCCTCAGTCACCTTGAGTTTCTCGACGATTTCCTCAGTCACCTTGGGTTCCTCGACGATCTGCTCGGTCACCTTGGGTTCCTCGACGATTTCCTCAGTCACCTTGGGTTCCTCGACGATTTCTTCAGTCACCTTGGGTTCCTCGACGATTTCCTCAGTCACCTTAGGTTCCTCGACGATTTCCTCGGTCACCTCTGGTTCCTCGACGATTTCCTTAGTCACCTGGGGTTCCTCGACGATCTCCTCAGTCACCTTGGGTTCCTCGACGATTTCCTCAGTCACCTTGGGTTCCTCGACGATTTCCTCAGTCACCTTAGGTTCTTCGACGATTTCCTCAGTCACCTTGGGTTCCTCGACGATTTCCTCAGTCACCTTGGGTTCCTCGACGATTTCCTCAGTTACCTTGGGTTCCTCGACGATTTCCTCAGTCACCTTGGGTTCCTCGAAGATTTCCTCAGTCACTTTGGGTTCCTCGACGATTTCCTCAGTTACCTTGGGTTCCTCGACGATTTCCTCAGTCACCTTGGGTTCCTCGACGATTTCCTCAGTCACCTTGGGTTCCTCGACGATTTCCTCAGTCACCTTGGGTTCCTCGACGATTTCCTCAGTCACCTTGGGTTCCTCGACGATTTCCTCGATCACCTTGTGTTCCTCGACGATTTCCTCAGTCACCTTGGGTTCCTCGACGATTTCCTCAGTCACTTGGGTTCCTCGACGATTTCCTCAGTCACCTTGGGTTCCTCGACGATTTCTTCAGTCACCTTGGGTTCCTCGACGATTTCCTCAGTCACCTTGGGTTCCTCGACGATTTCCTCAGTCACCTGGGGTTCCTCGACGATTTCCTCAGTTACCTTGGGTTCCTCGACGATTTCCTCAGTCACCTTGGGTTCCTCGACGATTTCCTCAGTCACCTTGGGTTCCTCGACGATTTCCTCAGTTACCTTGGGTTCCTCGACGATTTCCTCAGTCACCTTGGGTTCCTCGACGATTTCCTCAGTCACCTTGGGTTCCTCGACGATTTCCTCAGTCACCTTGGGTTCCTCGACGATTTCCTCAGTCACCTTTGGGTTCCTCGACGATTTCCTCAGTCACCTAGGTTTCCTCGACGATTTCCTCAGTCACCTTGGGTTCCTCGACGATTTCCTCAGTCACCTTGGGTTCCTCGACGATTTCCTCAGTTACCTTGGGTTCCTCGACGATTTCCTCAGTCACCTTGGGTTCCTCGAAGATTTCCTCAGTCACCTTTGGGTTCCTCGACGATTTCCTCAGTTACCTTGGGTTCCTCGACGATTTCCTCAGTCACCTTGGGTTCCTCGACGATTTCCTCAGTCACCTTGGGTTCCTCGACGATTTCCTCAGTCACCTTGGGTTCCTCGACGATTTCCTCAGTCACCTTGGGTTCCTCGACGATTTCCTCGATCACCTTGTGTTCCTCGACGATTTCCTCAGTCACCTTGGGTTCCTCGACGATTTCCTCAGTCACTTTGGGTTCCTCGACGACTTCCTCAGTCACCTTGGGTTCCTCGACGATTTCTTCAGTCACCTTGGGTTCCTCGACGATTTCCTCAGTCACCTTGGGTTCCTCGACGATTTCCTCAGTCACCTGGGGTTCCTCGACGATTTCCTCAGTTACCTTGGGTTCCTCGACGATTTCCTCAGTCACCTTGGGTTCCTCGACGATTTCCTCAGTCACTTTGGGTTCCTCGACGATTTCCTCAGTTACCTTGGGTTCCTCGACGATTTCCTCAGTCACCTTGGGTTCCTCGACGATTTCCTCAGTCATCTTGGGTTCCTCGACGATTTCCTCAGTCACCTTGGGTTCCTCGACGATTTCCTCAGTCACCTTGGGTTCCTCGACGATTTCCTCAGTCACTTTGGGTTCCTCGACGATTTCCTCAGTCACCTAGGTTTCCTCGACGATTTCCTCAGTCACCTTGGGTTCCTCGACGATTTCCTCAGTCACCTTGGGTTCCTCGACGATTTCCTCAGTCACCTTGTGTTCCTCGACGATTTCCTCAGTCACCTTGGGTTCCTCGACGATTTCCTCAGTCACTTTGGGTTCCTCGACGATTTCCTCAGTCACCTTGGCTTCCTCGACGATTTCTTCAGTCACCTTGGGTTCCTCGACGATTTCCTCAGTCACCTTGGGTTCCTCGACGATTTCCTCAGTCACCTTGGGTTCCTCGACGATTTCCTCAGTCACCTTGGGTTCCTCGACGATTTCCTCAGTCACCTTGGATTCCTCGACGATTTCCTCGATCACCTTGGGTTCCTCGACGATTTCCTCGATCACCTTGGGTTCCTCGACGATTTCCTCGATCACCTTGGGTTCCTCGACGATTTCCTCAGTCACCTGGGGTTCTTCGACGATTTCCTCAGTCACCTTGGGTTCCTCGACGATTTCCTCAGTCACTTTGGGTTCCTCGACGATTTCCTCAGTTACCTTGGGTTCCTCGACGATTTCCTCAGTCACCTTGGGTTCCTCGACGATTTCCTGAGTCACTTTAGGTTCCTCGACAATTTCCTCAGTTACCTTGGGTTCCTCGACGATTTCCTCAGTCACCTTGGGTTCCTCGACGATTTCCTCAGTCACCTTGGGTTCCTTGACGATTTCCTCAGTCACCTTGGGTTCCTCGACGATATCCTCAGTCACCTTGGGTTCCTCGACGATTTCCTCGATCACCTTGTGTTCCTCGACGATTTCCTCAGTCACCTTGGGTTCCTCGACGATTTCCTCAGTCACTTTGGGTTCCTCGACGATTTCCTCAGTCACCTTGGCTTCCTCGACGATTTCTTCAGTCACCTTGGGTTCCTCGACGATTTCCTCAGTCACCTTGGGTTCCTCGACGATTTCCTCAGTCACCTGGGGTTCCTCGACGATTTCCTCAGTTACCTTGGGTTCCTCGACGATTTCCTCAGTCACCTTGGGTTCCTCGACGATTTCCTCAGTCACTTTGGGTTCCTCGACGATTTCCTCAGTTACCTTGGGTTCCTCGACGATTTCCTCAGTCACCTTGGGTTCCTCGACGATTTCCTCAGTCACCTTGGGTTCCTCGACGATTTCCTCAGTCACCTTGGGTTCCTCGACGATTTCCTCAATCACCTTGGGTTCCTCGACGATTTCCTCAGTCACTTTGGGTTCCTCGACGATTTCCTCAGTCACCTAGGTTTCCTCGACGATTTCCTCAGTCACCTTGGGTTCCTCGACGATTTCCTCAGTCACCTTGGGTTCCTCGACGATTTCCTCAGTCACCTTGTGTTCCTCGACGATTTCCTCAGTCACCTTGGGTTCCTCGACGATTTCCTCAGTCACTTTGGGTTCCTCGACGATTTCCTCAGTCACCTTGGCTTCCTCGACGATTTCTTCAGTCACCTTGGGTTCCTCGACGATTTCCTCAGTCACCTTGGGTTCCTCGACGATTTCCTCAGTCACCTTGGGTTCCTCGACGATTTCCTCAGTCACCTTGGGTTCCTCGACGATTTCCTCAGTCACCTTGGATTCCTCGACGATTTCCTCGATCACCTTGGGTTCCTCGACGATTTCCTCGATCACCTTGGGTTCCTCGACGATTTCCTCAGTCACCTTGGGTTCCTCGACGATTTCCTCAGTCACCTTAGGTTCCTCGACGATTTCCTCAGTCACCTTGGGTTCCTCAGTCACCTTGGGTTCCTCGACGATTTCCTCAGTCACCTTGGGTTCCTCGACGATTTCCTCAGTCACCTTGGGTTCCTCGACGATTTCCTCGATCACCTTGGGTTCCTCGACGATTTCCTCAGTCACCTTGGGTTCCTCGACGATTTCCTCAGTCACCTGGGGTTCTTCGACGATTTCCTCAGACACCTGGGGTTCCTCGACGATTTCCTCAGTCACCTGGGGTTCCTCGACGATTTCCTCAGTCACCTTGGGTTCCTCGACGATTTCCTCAGTCACCTTGGGTTCCTCGACGATTTCCTCAGTCACCTTGGGTTCCTCGACGATTTCCTCAGTCACCTTGGGTTCCTCGACGATTTCCTCAGTCACCTTGGGTTCCTCGATGGTTTCCTCGATCACCTTGGGTTCTTCGACGATTTCCTCAGACACCTGGGGTTCCTCGACGATTTCCTCAGTCACCTGGGGTTCCTCGACGATTTCCTCAGTCACCTTGGGTTCCTCGACGATTTCCTCAGTTACCTTGGGTTCCTCGATGATTTCCTAAGTCACCTTGGGTTCCTCGACGATTTCCTCAGTCACCTTGGGTTCCTCGACGATTTCCTCAGTCACCTTGGGTTCCTCGACGATTTCCTCAGTCACCTTGGGTTCCACGATGGTTTCCTCGATCACCTTGGGTTCCTCGACGATTTCCTCAGTCACCTGGGGTTCTTCGACGATTTCCTCAGTCACCTTAGGTTCCTCGACGATTTCCTCAGTCACCTTGGGTTCCTCGACGATTTCCTCAGTCACCTTGGATTCCTCGACGATCTGCTCGGTCACCTTGGGTTCCTCGACGATTTCCTCAGTCACCTTGGGTTCCTCGACGATTTCCTCAGTCACCTGGGGTTCCTCGACGATTTCCTCAGTCATCTTGGGTTCCTCGACGATTTCCTCAGTCACCTTGGGTTCCTCGACGATCTGCTCGGTCACCTTGGGTTCCTCGACGATTTCCTCAGTCACCTTGGGTTCCTCGACGATTTCTTCAGTCACCTTGGGTTCCTCGACGATTTCCTCAGTCACCTTGGGTTCCTCGACGATTTCCTCAGTCACCTTGGGTTCCTCGACGATTTCCTTAGTCACCTCGACGATTTGCTCGGTCACCTTGGGTTCCTCGACAATTTCCTCAGTCACCTTAGGTTCTTCGACGATTTCCTCAGTCACCTTGGGTTCCTCGACGATTTCCTCAGTCACTTTGGGTTCCTCGACGATTTCCTCAGTTACCTTGGGTTCCTCGACGATTTCCTCAGTCACCTTGGGTTCCTCGACGATTTCCTCAGTCACTTTGGGTTCCTCGACGATTTCCTCAGTTACCTTGGGTTCCTCGACGATTTCCTCAGTCACCTTGGGTTCCTCGACGATTTCCTCAGTCACTTTGGGTTCCTCGACGATTTCCTCAGTCACCTAGGTTTCCTCGACGATTTCCTCAGTCACCTTGGGTTCCTCGACGATTTCGTCAGTCACCTTGGGTTCCTCGACGATTTCCTCAGTCACTTTGGGTTCCTCGACGATTTCCTCAGTCACCTTGGCTTCCTCGACGATTTCCTCAGTCACCTTGGGTTCCTCGACGATTTCCTCAGTCACCTTGGGTTCCTCGACGATTTCCTCGATCACCTTGGGTTCCTCGACGATTTCCTCAGTCACCTTGGGTTCCTTGACGATTTCCTCAGTCACTTTGGGTTCCTCGACGATTTCCTCAGTCACCTTGGGTTCCTCGACGATTTCCTCAGTCACCTTGGGTTCCTCGACGATTTCCTCAGTCACCTTGGGTTCCTCGACGATTTCCTCAGTCACCTTGGGTTCCTCGACGATTTCCTCAGTTACCTGGGGTTCCTCGACGATTTCCTCAGTCACCTTGGGTTCCTCGACGATCTGCTCGGTCACCTTGGGTTCCTCGACGATCTCCTCAGTCACCTTAGGTTCCTCGACGATCTCCTCAGTCACCTGGGGTTCCTCGACGATCTCCTCAGTCACCTTGGGTTCCTCGACGATCTCCTCAGTCACCTTGGGTTCCTCGACGATTTCCTCAGTCACCTTGGGTTCCTAGACGATCTCCTCAGTCACCTTGGGTTCCTCGACGATCTCCTTAGTCACCTTGGGTTCCTTGACGATCTGCTCGGTCACCTTGGGTTCCTCGACGATTTCCTCAGTCACCTTGGGTTCCTTGACGATCTGCTCGGTCACCTTAGGCTCCTCGATGATCTGCTCAGTCACCTTAGGCTCCTCGACGATCTGTTCGGTCACCTTGGGTTCCTCGACGATCTGCTCGGTCACCTTGGGTTCCTCGACGATTTCCTCAGTCACCTTGGGTTCCTCGACGATCTCCTCAGTCACCTTGGGTTCCTCGACGATTTCCTCAGTCACCTGGGGTTCTTCGACGATCTCCTCAGTCACCTTGGGTTCCTCGACGATCTCCTCAGTCACCTTGGGTTCCTCGACGATTTCCTCGACGATCTCCTCGGTCACCTTGGGTTCCTCGACGATTTCCTCGGTCACCTTGGGTTCCTCGACGATTTCCTCGATCACCTTGGGTTCCTCGACGATCTCCTCAGTCACCTTGGGTTCCTCGACGATTTCCTCGACGATTTCCTCGACGATCTCCTCGGTCACCTTGGGTTCCTCGACGATTTCCTCAGTCACCTTGGGTTCCTCGACGATTTCCTCGGTCACCTTGGGTTCCTCGACGATTTCCTCGACGATTTTCTCGACGATTTCCTCAGTCACTTTGGGTTCCTCGATTATTTCCTCAGTCACCTTGGGTTCTTCGACGATTTCCTCAGTCACCTCTGGTTCCTCGACGATTTCCTCAGTCACCTTGGGTTCCTTGACGATTTCCTCAGTCACTTTGGGTTCCTCGACGATTTCCTCAGTCACCTTGGCTTCCTCGACGATTTCCTCAGTCACCTTGGGTTCCTCGACGATTTCCTCAGTCACCTTGGGTTCCTCGACGATTTCCTCAGTCACCTTGGGTTCCTCGACGATCTGCTCAGTCACCTGGGGTTCCTCGACGATTTCCTCAGTCACCTTGGGTTCCTCGACGATCTGCTCGGTCACCTTGGGTTCCTCGACGATCTCCTCAGTCACCTTAGGTTCCTCGACGATTTCCTCAGTCACCTGGGGTTCCTCGACGATCTCCTCAGTCACCTTGGGTTCCTCGACGATCTCCTCAGTCACCTTGGGTTCCTCGACGATTTCCTCAGTCACCTTGGGTTCCTAGACGATCTCCTCAGTCACCTTGGGTTCCTCGACGATCTCCTTAGTCACCTTGGGTTCCTTGACGATCTGCTCGGTCACCTTGGGTTCCTCGACGATTTCCTCAGTCACCTTGGGTTCCTTGACGATCTGCTCGGTCACCTTAGGCTCCTCGATGATCTGCTCAGTCACCTTAGGCTCCTCGACGATCTGTTCGGTCACCTTGGGTTCCTCGACGATCTGCTCGGTCACCTTGGGTTCCTCGACGATTTCCTCAGTCACCTTGGGTTCCTCGACGATCTCCTCAGTCACCTTGGGTTCCTCGACGATTTCCTCAGTCACCTGGGGTTCTTCGACGATCTCCTCAGTCACCTTGGGTTCCTCGACGATCTCCTCAGTCACCTTGGGTTCCTCGACGATTTCCTCGACGATCTCCTCGGTCACCTTGGGTTCCTCGACGATTTCCTCAGTCACCTTGGGTTCCTCGACGATTTCCTCGATCACCTTAGGTTCCTCGACGATCTCCTCAGTCACCTTGGGTTCCTCGACGATTTCCTCGACGATTTCCTCGACGATCTCCTCGGTCACCTTGGGTTCCTCGACGATTTCCTCAGTCACCTTGGGTTCCTCGATGATTTCCTCGGTCACCTTGGGTTCCTCGACGATTTCCTCGACGATTTTCTCGACGATTTCCTCAGTCACTTTGGGTTCCTCGATTATTTCCTCAGTCACCTTGGGTTCTTCGACGATTTCCTCAGTCACCTTAGGTTCCTCGACGATTTCCTCAGTCACCTTAGGTTCCCTGACGATTTCCTCGATCACCTTGGGTTCCTCGACGATTTCCTCAGTCACCTTGGGTTCCTCGACGATTTCCTCAGTCACCTTGGGTTCCTCGACGATTTCCTCGATCACCTTGGGTTCCTCGACGATTTCCTCGATCACCTTGGGTTCCTCGACGATTTCCTCAGTCACTTTGGGTTCCTCGACGATTTCCTCAGTCACCTTGGGTTCCTCGACGATTTCCTCAGTCACCTTGGGTTCCTCGACGATTTCCTCAGTCACCTTGGGTTCCTCGACGATTTCCTCAGTCACCTGGGGTTCCTCGACGATTTCCTCAGTCACCTTGGGTTCCTCGACGATCTGCTCGGTCACCTTGGGTTCCTCGACGATTTCCTCAGTCACCTTAGGTTCCTCGACGATCTCCTCAGTCACCTTGGGTTCCTCGACGATCTCCTCAGTCACCTTGGGTTCCTCGACGATCTCCTCAGTCACCTTGGGTTCCTCGACGATCTCCTCAGTCACCTTGGGTTCCTCGACGATCTCCTTAGTCACCTTGGGTTCCTTGACGATCTGCTCGGTCACCTTGGGTTCCTCGACGATTTCCTCAGTCACCTTGGGTTCCTTGACGATCTGCTCGGTCACCTTGGGTTCCTCGACGATTTCCTCGATCACCTTGGGTTCCTCGACGATTTCCTCAGTCACTTTGGGTTCCTCGACGATTTCCTCAGTCACCTTGGGTTCCTCGACGATTTCCTCAGTCACCTTGGGTTCCTCGACGATTTCCTCAGTCACCTTGGGTTCCTCGACGATTTCCTCAGTCACCTGGGGTTCCTCGACGATTTCCTCAGTCACTGGGTTCCTCGACGATCTGCTCGGTCACCTTGGGTTCCTCGACGATTTCCTCAGTCACCTTAGGTTCCTCGACGATCTCCTCAGTCACCTTGGGTTCCTCGACGATCTCCTCAGTCACCTTGGGTTCCTCGACGATCTCCTCAGTCACCTTGGGTTCCTCGACGATCTCCTCAGTCACCTTGGGTTCCTCGACGATTTCCTCGATCACCTTGGGTTCCTTGACGATCTGCTCGGTCACCTTGGGTTCCTCGACGATTTCCTCAGTCACCTTGGGTTCCTTGACGATCTGCTCGGTCACCTTAGGCTCCTCGATGATCTGCTCAGTCACCTTAGGCTCCTCGACGATCTGTTCGGTCACCTTGGGTTCCTCGACGATCTGCTCGGTCACCTTGGGTTCCTCGACGATCTCCTCAGTCACCTTGGGTTCCTCGACGATTTCCTCAGTCACCTGGGGTTCTTCGACGATCTCCTCAGTCACCTTGGGTTCCTCGACGATTTCCTCAGTCACCTTGGGTTCCTCGACGATTTCCTCGACGATCTCCTCGGTCACCTTGGGTTCCTCGACGATTTCCTCGGTCACCTTGGGTTCCTCGACGATTTCCTCGGTCACCTTGGGTTCCTCGACGATCTCCTCAGTCACCTTGGGTTCCTCGACGATTTCCTCGACGATCTCCTCGGTCACCTTGGGTTCCTCGACGATTTCCTCAGTCACCTGGGGTTCCTCGACGATTTCCTCGGTCACCTTGGGTTCCTCGACGATCTCCTCGGTCACCTTGGGTTCCTCGACGATTTCCTCAGTCACCTTGGGTTCCTCGACGATTTCCTCGGTCACCTTGGGTTCCTCGACGATTTCCTCGACGATTTTCTCGACGATTTCCTCAGTCACTTTGGGTTCCTCGATTATTTCCTCAGTCACCTTGGGTTCTTCGACGATTTCCTCAGTCACCTCTGGTTCCTCGACGATTTCCTCAGTCACCTGGGGTTCCTCGACGATTTCCTCAGTCACCTTAGGTTCCTCGACGATTTCCTCAGTCACCTTAGGTTCCTCGACGATTTCCTCAGTCACCTTAGGTTCCCCGACGATTTCCTCGATCACCTTGGGTTCCTCGACGATTTCCTCAGTCACCTTGGGTTCCTCGACGATTTCCTCAGTCACCTTGGGTTCCTCGACGATTTCCTCAGTCACCTAGGGTTCCTCGACGATTTCCTCAGTCACCTTGGGTTCCTCGACGATTTCCTCAGTCACCTTGGGTTCCTCGACGATTTCCTCGGTCACCTTGGGATCCTCGACGATTTCCTCAGTCATCTTGGGTTCCTCGACGATTTCCTCAGTCACCTGGGGTTCCTTGACGATTTCCTCAGTCACCTTGGGTTCCTCGACGATTTCCTCGATCACCTTGGGTTCCTCGACGATTTCCTCAGTCACCTTGGGTTCCTCGACGATTTCCTCAGTCACTTTGGGTTCCTCGACGATTTCCTCAGTCACCTTGGCTTCCTCGACGATTTCCTCAGTCACCTTGGGTTCCTCGACGATTTCCTCAGTCACCTTGGGTTCCTCGACGATTTCCTCAGTCACCTGGGGTTCCTCGACGATTTCCTCAGCCACCTTGGGTTCCTCGACGATCTGCTCGGTCACCTTGGGTTCCTCGACGATTTCCTCAGTCACCTTAGGTTCCTCGACGATTTCCTCAGTCACCTTAGGTTCCTCGACGATTTCCTCAGTCACCTTGGGTTCCTCGACGATCTCCTCAGTCACCTTGGGTTCCTCGACGATTTCCTCAGTCACCTTGGGTTCCTCGACGATTTCCTCAGTCACCTTGGGTTCCTCGACGATCTCCTCAGTCACCTTGGGTTCCTCGACGATTTCCTCGACGATCTCCTCGGTCACCTTGGGTTCCTCGACGATTCCCTCAGTCACCTTGGGTTCCTCGACGATTTCCTCAGTCACCTTGGGTTCCTCGACGATCTCCTCGGTCACCTTGGGTTCCTCGACGATTTCCTCAGTCACCTTGGGTTCCTCGACGATTTCCTCGGTCACCTTGGGTTCCTCGACGATTTCCTCAGTCACTTTGGGTTCCTCGACGATTTCCTCAGTCACCTTGGCTTCCTCGACGATTTCCTCAGTCACCTTGGGTTCCTCGACGATTTCCTCAGTCACCTTGGGTTCCTCGACGATTTCCTCAGTCACCTGGGGTTCCTCGACGATTTCCTCAGCCACCTTGGGTTCCTCGACGATCTGCTCGGTCACCTTGGGTTCCTCGACGATTTCCTCAGTCACCTGGGGTTCTTCGACGATCTCCTCAGTCACCTTGGGTTCCTCGACGATCTCCTCAGTCACCTTGGGTTCCTCGACGATTTCCTCAGTCACCTTGGGTTCCTCGACGATTTCCTCAGTCACC